TTTCTATCAATTTATATATAGTCGGTAGAAGAGAAATAGGACGATAATTATTCGGGTCGGCTTTGTCACCTTTCTTAAAATTAGGTGATACTTTGGCTTATTTAAAGTTTGTCGGGAACATACCACTTACTATGCTAGCGTTAACAGTTTACAGATATTTTTAGATGCGACTTTCAAAAGACGCGGTCGAATAACGTCAATGCTAGCTGATTCATTGACATTTAGAGAATTTAACATGTTAAAAACTTCACTTTCCTCAATTTGATGAATACTAAAGAAGGTTTCCTCATCAAGCTTAGACCTAACAAAATTACATAATGTATAAGGATCATAATTATGTTTTGGTATTTCCAAAAGAAAATAGTTAGAGACATCCGTAAAGTGGTTATTAAAAGTATTTGCAATATCCTGTAGATCATCTATAATTTTCCCATCAGAAAATACATGAGATGGAGTTATATTCTTTGATTTACATGTTAATTGGTTAAGATAGTTCCACATTTCTTTTGGATTTGAACTCTGTTTAATCGCTGTTTTATAGTAGGATTTTGGTTTGTCTACAAGAAGACTAACTTATAGAGTCCATAGTTCTCCATATCTCGTTCTTAATGGTAAGAGTCACGTAGATGTCTAGCATTGTTTAATTCTTGTGTCAACCATTTAGAACGAATTTCATTCTTTACTCGTTTGGTTTTAATCTGCGCATGCTGGTCAAGTACACTATTAAATAATTTAAAGAATTCAGTGAGTATTTCATTGGGGTCATGCAATTGGCTGAGAATGCTAAAGTCTACATCTTTTAATCCTTGGAGGAATTTATTTGCATCAAACTTTTTGAAGTCTCTATACTGCATTTCTGTATGTTTTCCTTGTTGTTGCATGCATTTTGTTTTTCTTATGGCATATATTTAGTAGTGATCAGAGATGGCTATAAAAGGTACATTTACTTCACACATGTTATCTGGTTAATTGGTGTAAAAGTGATCTATTAGGGTACTTGAGGTATTAGTTACTCTGGTTAATGCTGTAATTAATTGTGAAAAACCAAACTCTTCTAAAGCATATGTCCAACTTTGTGGGAGTTCTTTGAATAAGTCTACATTAAAGTCACCTGTTAAGATAATTTTCGCATCCCCTCAAAGGGAAGCACAGTTAATCTCGCTAGCCAGGTCCTCTGCCCAGCAGGAGGGAGCAGATGGTGGGCGATATGCTGAACAATCAAAAATTGGTTTAGGATTCTTTGTATTTAATTCTAGCCAAATTGTTTCAATATTGCCAATTTCAAAATCTGTTCTGCGATTGTATATTATATTTTTAGAATTCCATGACCTGCCCTCAAAGTGTGGTCCTTCTTTTTCATTTCAAAGCCATCAATATTCAACTCAGAATCACTAATAGTTTCATTTAAATAGGTTTTACAAAGTCCTAGATTATTAAGAGTTCGTTTGTTTTGAAGCAGAAGTTTAATTTTTTTTAAATTTGTGGCATTAAGTGGCAAATGTTAAGGTTCCAAATTTTAAGCCTTTTTTCATCAAACCAAATTCATTAATGCTTGTTATACTGTTACTTTTTGTTATAAACACATTAGATTTTTTTGATTGTGAAACCTCCTTGACAATAGAACTATTAATATTTTACTTAGTCTTAGTGAATTTATAGGAATTAGATATAGTGTTTGACTTAGTACTAGAATTTGGAACAAATGCACATGAATACTCATTATCACGACATAAACAATAAACCTTATTACATTCCGAGCATAAACTATTCAAGAAGAGAAAATACATTATTGTTATTAATTATCCGGGCAAAATCATTGTTTTCTAGTGGCTATGCCACTTGGTTTTGTGTCTGCATCACGCCGTGCCTGCAATGATATATTCCAGAAATAGTAGAAAGTTGAACAAAAACATGTTGTATAATGCGCACACTTTTATATGATAGATTTTCAGCAGTACCAGTATCTGACAGCTGATTCCATATTTAAGTATTTGAACTTTCGCTCTCCAAAGATTTTTGAAGTACCGTATATACTCGCCTATAAGTCGGTCCGCCTATAAGTCGGTTGTATTTAATAAGCTTGCATATCAGATGGACTGACCTCGTATAAAACCATACTTTTGATAGCTCGCCTATAAGTCGGACAAAGAGTTTTGGACCAGAGATTAACTCCCAAAAAAACGACTTATAGGCGAGTATATACGGTAGGGATCACAGTGACACCATACATTTCACAAACATCTTTAATAACTTCATTAACATCACTGACATTCGTATCTCGTCTAGCAAACACTTCTGGAATATACACACATACACTGGGATTCCGATGTTGGAGCTCTGCAATTATTTCCGCAAAATCGTTTTCCATCCACTCTGCATCACGCCGTTGAAGTGTCATTTCCACAAGCAAAAACAATAATACTTTTATATGATGACGCATCCATATTTGTAAGAACAGATCGGTTTGTGCCGACCTGTACACTAGAATGCAATCCTCTGCTGTGGATCCTTTGTAATATAGTACTGATCTACTGGTTAAGGGCAATCTTTAATGTGGTATCCGTCATAGTACTTCTACTGGTTAAGGGCACTTTAATGTCATACTGACTATGCCTTGATACATCTGACCCAGGAATTTTCATTCCTTCCGTTGATGTCTCTTTCTCCTTTGTCCTGTTTGAAGCTGTTTGGGTACCTTTTGTTGGAAGAGATGCGAACTTTCTCGATGCATTTATTTGCTGTTTGAGATCACTGACTTCTTGTGACAAAAGTTGGACAGTGTCTGAGGGTTCCTTAATGATTGTTGCACTGTCAATGCAATGATGACAATTCATTTGGGGGTCTTCATCAACTTTTGAGGCCTTACTTTTAGTAGTTTATGTGTACTGAGGAGATGTTTCCTCTATGGTCTTACATCTCGTCTTCAAATTTTCATCAGAGGTCTTCAAATTCTTGAGCAATCTTTGACATCACGAGAAATATGAGTCTTCTTGGATGTGAAGGGTATTTGTTATTTCTTAAATGGTAAATGTGACAGAATCATCTCGCGACTTATGTATAGATCCATGTCTTCTTCTCTCGCGGTTTTTAAACAGCACAAGTTCGCTCTGTAGTAAATCCAAGATGATAGGGTACTTGTCCCCATTGAAAGTTATTGTGACACTCCTCTGATTTGTATTACCTTGGAGGAAATCTGGTGCTTCTAGATCCAGTTTCACAGATTCATTTGGAACCTCATTACTTACACTAAATGATCTTGAAAATCCAGTAACTGAGTCCAATATTGACTTGAAGAGGTTAGAACTATCACTCAAACTCATAATTACTTCATTGCAATTACTTAGTATAGATAATATATGCAGGAGCTGTAAAAACACCTCTGGTTACTTTGACTACTTATCAGTATGGAAATGCATTAATTCTTTGAGTCATGAACTCTGTTCCTTGGTATTAAACGAACTGACTACATACATAGTTTAATCTAATCAAAATAAGATGTCAGATCCGCTGGCATTCTCGCTACACTAACATCTTACAACAGATCATAGAGGGTAACGTTAGAGGTCAAATTTGGAATAACTCTAGACTTATTCGCTTCAACCAATACGCGATGATTTTGCAGGCGACAAATTGATTGGTTGATAGAATTTAACCTCTGAGGTGACCCTCAATGGGATGTTGTTAGATGTTAGTGAATCTAGTATTCGAGGAGATCTAACGTTCAATTTTAATTAGATTTTACACAGTTGTGATGAGCATGGGCCATTTTCGAGAATTTAGAATTTCAAGGCCCCTGGATCAGGGATTCCATGGAGGACAGGGGGGTCTAATTAAATAATGAAAATGAATGTGGGGTTTGGGGCATAACTCATTATTGCTGCATATTACTGATTAGATGAAATGCATTTTTCCCCCTACCCTGCCTATGGGTATTAAGCAACCAAAATAAACATGATAAGTGTATTATTTTGATACTACCTTTTTCAAAATTGTAAATGTCATGGCCTCTGTTTGAAAATATGAACCAACTTAAATGGTGGGATAGTTGTTAAATCTGGCTCAGGTAATGCCCATGGGCCTCTTGTTATAATTGTATGAAAAGTAAAAAAAAATATATGTACTTATACATACAGTATCTACGGAGTGAGTCATGATAGAAATCTCTGTCTAACACTGTTTTATGCTATAACCTTTGAATTACTATTTGAAAGAAAGTCGTGTTAATTGTGATTATATTTTGTAAATTATAAAGTTTACACACTGAGGTTTTATATGATTTCATGTTAACACCTATACAAATCTGAACTGTTTTCCAGTATTTCTTAATTCATATGTGTTTTAATTTATAACTATTGCTTTGTTAGACAGGTTTAATTGAGAACACTTGGAGGCTGCTATCCATGGAGACAAAGCATTGAGAAGCCAGTGTCAAGGTATTTATGGTTATCTGTTATACATTTCTATTGAATTGTTCAACACTGTATAAATTCTTAAAACTAAAACATTTGAAGTCAGTACATTTGTTATTTATAAACAGAGATATGTTCCTGTTGCAGATAATTGTAGAACAGTGTTGTAATTTACAGAGAAATCTCCCTGACTGAAGGAAAGCAACACAGGGTTCTGAAACAACAGGAAAAAGAAGAAATAGATGTCTGGTGTCAGTGATGTATAGATTGGTGTTACGAAAATCTGTCAGAGTGTCAGGTGTTAGTGATTCTAGTCACATTACGCACGTGTCAACAGACCGGGTCTGGATCAGTGATCATAAAGGCAACCTCATCTTAACAAACAGGACAGGAGACATACTAGATCACCTGACAGATTTAATTAGCTATACTGGTGGAGTACATACTGTGACCGGTGGAGGTGATGTGATTTATATAGACAGTAAACGTAACATCATCAAACTGTCTACAGTTAAAGAAAAGACCACAGTAATACCATACAATACAGCACCATGGGAACCATACTGTGTTTTCAGCTCCCCCTCCACTGGAGACTTGCTTGTCGGGATGTGGAATACTGATACAAGGACAGGCCAATTAAACCGTTACACTGACACAGGACGACACATACAGACCATACAGCACGAAAACACAGGTCAGGGACTGTATAATAGACCTATCTACATCACAGAGAACCGAAATGGAGATGTTATTGTGTCTGACTATTACTGTTATGCTGTAGTGGTGACAGACAGTACAGGCAATCATCGCTTCTCCTACACAGGTCCTCCATCAGGATCACGACTAACACCACGTGGAATCTGCACTGACGCGCTGTCACACATCTTGCTGTGTGATTGGGACACCTACTCAGTACAGATTATTGATAAAGATGGTCACTACCTGACAACAATAGAGAGGGAACAACACGGGATAGACAGACCATGGAGCCTGAGTTATGATGACAACACCCGGTCTGTCTGGCTCGGTTCATACAACAACAACACAGTGAACATCTACAGACCTATCTATGGAGGGGATAATCTGAATGGTAAGTTATACTGAAGTATTATTATATGTTTTGTTTACAATATTTAGTGTGTACAATATATTATAGTCATTGTTTTGTGTTTAATTATAAGACATTAAAATGATTAAAGAATTATCATACTGATAGCTAAAGTGTAAATACATTACATGGTTAATTGAATTCTAACCTGTTGTGTTCTGTAACAAGAAATGTTTTAAGAAAGAATATTAATTGATAAGTTGTCAAATTAATAATGATTTGATTTTCAGTTTAGATTTAATTAGGGTTATTCTTATGTGTACTTAATTGTTAATTTTGTTGTATGTGACAAACTACTCCTGAATTTGTACGGACTGCCTAATGATTTGTCAGCATGGTTAAATAACTTTAATTGATTCTGTCTTCTTTTTTGGTTTACATTATTTTTCATATTCCACTGCTTAATGGTTTGTAGATTAAATTCATAGATAATTATAAATGTCAGGAAATAGAAAAATGGTTAACGTGGTAAAATCGGTGTGTGGTCTATGTCTGGGGGGGGGGGGGGGGGCTAATGTCCTAGTTCTTATCATTAGATGATATATACTGTATTAGGGAAAATTTTAATGCGCCCAGATTAAAAGATCTGTTTATTGTTTATTTGTTATTGTTTTTGTCTTTTGTCTTGTCTGATTGTTTGTTTGACTGCTTGTCTGTAAGTCTACAAATTTAACCTTCGTCATAATATTTGAATCATGAACAATAGAGACTTCATATTTGGTAAATATAGTCCACTAATTAAACTCTTTCAAATGCAACCAAGGTCAATGACCTTGTAATCTTGACTGTGACCAATATGCTAAAAATAATTTTTTTTTGCAAACTTTAACCTTTGCTTTAACTTTCGAACCATAAAAGATAGAAACTTCCTATTCAGTATGCATACATCACTGAAAAAAAACTCCTTTAAATGACACTGTGGTCAATGACCTTGTGACCTTGACTGATGTATACGCTAAATATATGCTTTTGTTGTCAAATTTTAACCTTTACTATAACTTTGGAACGAAAAAGATAGAGATTTAATATTTTGCATGCATACTCGACTAAATAAGCCCTTTCACAGGATACCAAGGTCATTGGTATTGTGACGTTTACTGTGTCCTATATGCTAAAAAAATATAAATCTAAATATTACTATATGTTTTTTTAACCTTCACCATAAGTTCTGTAGAATGCATTAAAACAAAATTTCAAATTCAGCTTTATGCATGTGTTTTTATGTCTATTCTGAGAACATGACTGTTTTTGTTATAGATCCAAGCAGTGATGCTATAAATAAAGTGGATGAGTTGAAGAAGTTTCTGAGGAAGGAGAAGACAACTGTCACCCATGCCAGAGGAATACTTGTTGGATGTGCGGAGGCTGGAAAAACAACGCTACTGAAGAGATTAAGAGGGCAAAGTCAAACTGTCAGCAAAGCTACAAAGTCATCCAGGGGAATAACAACATTGCTGAAGAGATTAAGATGGAAACGCCAAGATTTCAGTGAAGTTACAGAGTCCACCAGGGGACTGGAAGTCCATCAACATCTATTCATTGTTAGAGATGGCGTTTTAGAAGGTAAAAATAATTTCTGACACATTTGCAAAAGATAAATGAAAGAGTAAGAAATATCCCTTGAATTTTTGTATTAGATCCAGTCTTAAAGAAATTATTCAAGATATTTTCATCAAACTTCATACACTGATACAAATGTTTATGTCGCCTACGTAATGAGGCCAGGCCAAGGCGTTCATGTTCTATGGTCATATTTCTAGTTCTTTAAACCTCTGTTTTACCTTTGTATGTCTGTCCGTGTGTCCGTCCGTAACAAATTTTCGTCGCAGTTTTCTCAGCAACTACTCATCTGAGGCATGCCATATGGTGGAATACATTTTCGCTCAAATCCGATGTAAACTTCCTGTTTGTCTGTGCGTCTGTCTGTTTCATACATAACAAATTTTCGTTGCAGTTTTCTCAGCAACTATTTATTGTAGATGCTTGAAATTTTAATACAATCTTTTCTGAGGCATGCCATATGGTGGGATACATTTTCGTTCAAATCAGATGTCAACTTCCTGTTTGTCTGTGCGTCTGTATGATTCATACATAACAAATCTTCGTCGCAGTTTTCTCAGCAACTATTTATTGTAGATGCTTGAAATTTTAACACAATTTTCTCTAAGGTATGCCATATTTTGGGATATATTTTTGTTCCAATCGCATATCAACTTCCAGTTTGTCTGTTCATCTGTCCGTTTCTTGCATAACAAATCTTTGTCGGAGTTTTCTCATTAGCTATTCAAAGCGGATGCTTGAAATTTTATAACACTCTTTGTTGAGGCATGCCATTATGGTGGGGTTAGTTTTGATATTAACCTGATGTCAACTTCATATTTTTCTGTGCATCTGCCTGTAATTCAACTTGTGTATACCGGTATTTACATGATAGTGCTTACGAGGGCTGTTCAATAAATAATGTACTTGGTGCTCAGAAAGAAGCAAACGATGCTTTTCAATGATTTAGTCTTCATGATTTTACTTATCAATCTCTTTTAATTCAAACACATGTCTGTAACATTTTTTTATCCAATTTCTGATTGTTTTGAGAACTCATTTGTTGGTATGACCCTTAGTATACTGGAAAATGGCAGATACAATGATTTTCTGGACTTGTTTTTTCCTTCAAAAAAGGTTTTTTTTTCAAGTTTGGAAAAAGAAACAACTCAAAAGGTCAAAGATCTGGCAAATATTGTTAATGTGAAAAAAAAATAACTTTCTGTGAATCCCGAAAACCCTTTTACTCTTCAGGGCATGCCGGTTTGGACGCTGTCATGAAGAAATTCAATGTAGTGAAATCCTGATTCTGGGTCCTTCCTCTAATAAACCTTTCGATCTTTTTGCAAAAAAATTGCTTTCCAGACTCCTTCAGATATTAAACTGTCTCCCCGAATACGAATTTGTACAACAATACCACTAATATTTAAGAAAATTGCATATAAATCTGTCTTTGTGTTCTTGCATACCTTTGCTTTTGTCAGACCTTCGCCGTTTTTATCAAATTCATCTTATGGTAAATTTTGTTTTGATGATTTTAAGCAATAGATTCATGTTCCAATATCTGAATATAAAACAAACATGGATAACTACAATTACTGATATTTTAAAATAATTTCCTTCGTACAAGCTGTCTTTTTCATTCATTTTTCAAAATATAGGGTGACCTTTGAGTACCAAGCTTTTTTTTACTGTCAAACGTTTCTTAAAAAACAGTGTAAACTACTTCCGATATGATGTCTACCAAACTTGCTATGTGTCTTAAAGTCAATCATACATCATCAAATATTATTTGTTGAAATTTGACAAAAATACATAAATATTTATAATTTTTGTTGGCAAGGAGGGTACCCATTTTTGATGCCCATTATATAATTTTTTTTATCATTGAAATCCACCTGCTCATTTGTCTATAAAACAGGCATTGGTTGCTGTAAATGACACCTATTTCAGCCTTTTCACTCTAGTTTACTGATTCTTTACCATTCATTTAGAATGCAGTGTCTCGAAAAGCCCTTGTTTCCCAGCTTCTCACGATGAAACTATGAGATGAAATGTGGTCACATAAACTGTTATGAATTTAGTAATGATTCAATAATGAGACAAAAGTCAAGTTTAATATCATATGATATTTGTATTGTATGTCATAAAGTTCAGAACATTATTTATTGATCAGCCCTCGTATTTACATTAGAGCGCGGGTATTACTAGTGAGCATTGGCTCACAGATTCCTTGCTTTAAATCTAGAGCAGCCAACCAGAGAGCTGGACGTTATCCAGTCATCATCACATAATAAAGATTTTAAATAATATGAACAATATATAGAATTACATGATAACATACAAGTGGTAGAATGTTAGTTGTCAATGAGGAAAAAAGAGATAGATAATTATGAAAAAAGAGATAAACAAGCAAATTCAAAGAGTTGTGGTCCCCGCTTTCGATATCTTTGTGGGTGAGATGTCAATTTTTATGACATTTTGTATTATTGTGTCAAATATGAAGGCCCTATCATATGTCATTTAGAAATTATCACCGAAGATTAATTCTCTCTAAAATAAAGTCAATCATCATGGTCAAGGGGTCAGAAATCATAGCATGCAGGGTTCTCCACAAGGCGCGCCATGGTTAAATTTATGTGCGCCATGGTTAAACGAGCTGCGCCATGGTTAAAATCAGCATCCGCCATGATTAAATTTTATTGCATTTCAGTTCTGACACCTACATTTTTTAATGACTTGAGTACTTAATTTTGTTTATACTACGACTGTCTTGCACCTGGCAAGCCTCTAAGAAAAACGGACTGCTAAACAAACACTTCATTCGGCGACTATATGCTATGAAGCATGACAATCAATGGATAGTCAATCAGCTGATCAATATTTTGTGAGTTAATTATCCTGTACACATGTAAATAATTTTGGGTAACTTCAATATGTTCACTACATGATTAGACATATAACGGGTTTATAAAAAATTACAATTTAATACCGATACGGTAATACACGAACAAAAATCGTCATGCTTGCGATTCAGGTTTCTGTGCCTGAAAAAAACATACTCTGTAAAAATTTCATATTCCTCCGTATTTAATCAATTCCCCATGCTCTGTTTTATAAGCTTTAAATTTATTATCTTTTTGATTAAATGTGTATAGGGCCGGCGTCTCAATCACAATCTTAGTTTAAGACTTACTTCCCGTTGTTATGAAACGTCGCGTGGCGCTATTTTTAGCTCTGGACACGTGGAGAAGTAAACACAATGGGTGATTAATGCAGTATCTAGACAAATAAAACGTTTAGAAAAAAGGACACTAGTCCAAATAGTCTTTTATGTGTTTACTTAAAAAAAAAAACACTATCCATTAATCAGTTCTATAGTCATATTGAAACAAAACATTTCATAAAACAGGCTACAATTCTTATAATTATTAATCTAATGCCATGGTTACTGGCTACCTGTAACAACATAATTTTTTTTTAATTCCTTCAGAAGATTACTGCAGTTTTGGGCAAATTTTGGTACATGTGTGAAGTAAGATAAATTAAATAAATCCTTTTCAATTTTAATTAATATTTTTTTTCACTTTAAAAAGTGTTAGTTATTCAATGTTTTGTATTGCAGTAGGTAGGTTTAAAAACTGTAAAAACCAATCATTGAATAATGAAGATAAGGAAGTCTAAGATGCACTAATGTTTTCGGCCACATTTCGCCTTCGCGCAGCTTCCTCCACGGTTAAATTTTTAAATGTGGAGAACCCTGGCATGCTCAGAAATACCTTATCACAAGTATTGTAATGCACCGGTCAAATATAAAAGTTCAATCTCTTTCCAATCTAAAGTTATAAGGAAAGGTTTACAATAAAAAAAAAGTAGGCTAAATTTGAAGTCCAAGATCACAAAATCAAAAATCTCAGGGTATGAAGAAAGGCATTGTCACAGGCAATACACAGGTATAAAATAAAAATCCCTGCATGATGAGCAAGATTCAAGTTCTTGAAAGAAAAGGTTTAACTTAGAGGCCAAGGTCACGAGGTCAAAAGTCATAGTGTTCATAGGAAGGTCTTGTTACATTTAATACACATTTAAGCCCTATCTCTTCTCAGTCAAAGGAAACTACCAATTAAAAAATGTTAAATTCTTCTAAAGTAGGCAATTGTCAAGATTGCGGATATAAAAAATCAAAGAATTTAGAAAGACCTTGTCACAGGTATTATTCATGTGTAATATGAAAGTCCTTTCTCTACTAATTAAAAGGGTATGACCAAGATTAAAGATGATTGTGAAGTAGATAAAACTCCAAGGTCAAGGTCAAGACGTCAAATTAGGTATTAAGAAATGTCTTGTCAAATGTAATACATATCTCTAATATGAAAGCTCTATCATTCTCTCATTCAAAAGTTATGGCCAGTAAAAGTAGTGTTTATTAACTTTAATATTTTTAAAAATAAGTCAAACTTCAAGGTCACAAGGTCATCGTGTATTTAGATGTCTTGTCGCAGGTAATATATGTAATTTCAAAGTTCTTTCTCATCTTAAAGATATGACCAAGGTTAAAGTTTTTGGGACGGGCAGACAGACGGAAGGACAAATGAGATTTATTGTTCCCTCACTTTTACAAAAGCAAGGGAACATTATTACTCTATTATGTGTTAAAATGAAACCATTATTAAATAACATTCCTCTTTTTTCAGTGGCTGATGATGACTCAACATTCAAGTCATTTATCAGAATAAATGCTGCAGATTTGAAACCAGACCCAAGCAGCAGTGCCGTTGCCAGCTCTGATGCAAATGAAAAAGAAAATTTGGAAGTAGGAAGTACTGATAAAAGCACTGAAGTAGTTTATAACCGAGAGGAAAAGAAAGAAGAGAATGTGGAAATGTCTAGTTCACCAACGGAGGGCACAGAAGAAGAGAACTCAGTAGAGATAATGGCCAGTCTTATCTCTTCAGAAGCTACAGCTATGGTAAAGGATGAAATTTTTCAGAAAATCTTGTCTGATAAAGAAAAATTACCAACTGTCAGCATGCTGGATTTTGCTGGCCAGTTAGCCTATTATGCCTGTCACCAAATTTACGTAACACCAAAGGCCTTTTTTATCCTTGTGTTGGACATGACTAAGAGGTTTGAGGATGTGGTGGATCAAGAGAAAGATAATCAAGAGGGATCAATCTTCTCAGTATGGACGTACAAAGGTTAGGCACTTGTAAAATGTCCAATATTAAGCTCTTCTGATTCAAAGACTTAAGAAGCTAATGTCTTTGCCATTTGTTCGGTGAGCGGCGTGTGTTATACAGTATCCATAAATGTTTTAGAATACTGGCCAAAATCATAACTCAAAATCCCCTTGGTCAATTATTGTCAAAGGATGACTGCACTTAAGGATATGCAAAATTTACGTCAAAATAAACTTTCAAAACAGACATTTTTCTTTCAATAGCAGAAACGATCAACATCTAACCTACAACTTTACTTAATTACAATAAATAAAAGTATGTATTTACAACGTACGAATCTGTTTTCTGAGGTTGGGGTCAACACCATTCGTTCTATCTTCGAACCATAATGAGGACGCCAACTTTCTTTACTAACTTTATACATAGACAGCGCATGTTTGTCTATTGTTCTCCTTTTAACAGTAGTTGTATATTTGTATAAATAATGTTGTGTTTAAAGGAGATTAATAGACAAACATGCGCTCATCGTTAAAAAGAGAAAAAAAATCTACTTCTTCTTACACTAGCTCTCTCTGTTGTAACCAAGGGCTGTGACACGTTGAATATTATAATTCACCACGTGATATCTTTTCTCAGGTAATTTTGTGAATACTAAATGTCGTCACGTGACTTATTGATAGCATGTTTTGTGATAACTAGGACACTGTGTTCAAACATGTTGAATAGTCAGCCAGCGATTTAAAATATTCTTTTCTTACATGGATTAGCTCAAACGATTTAAACATTGGTAAATAATGTACTTCTGCCAAACAGAATGAATAGCAAAATGGAAAATAGAGATCTCATATTTTTAGGTCACCTGAGTAAACTCAGGTGACCTATTGCTATCTGTTATCGTCCGTCGTCATGCGTCGTGCGTCGTCCGTTGACATTTGAACATTTTCAGCTTCTTCTCTGCAACCACTAAACCAATTTCAACCAAATTTGGCATAGAGCATCTATGGGTTAAGAGGAACAAAAATTGTGAATTTCATTATCTCTGCCCCCCTGGGGCCTGAGGGGTGGGGCCAAAACCACTAAAATTAATGCAATCTTTAAAAATCTTCTTCTTTACTCCTGGAAATCAAGCAGTCAAAGTGTTGGCATGATTGTAATCAAAAATGAGTCCTCTACCAAAATTGTGAAATTCATGGCCCTGGGGTCAGGGGTTCTAGTGCCAGGGCGGGGCTAAATAAGTAGGTAGTGAAAATGTATTATTTCTTTGAAAATCTTCTTCTCTGCTCCTGGGTATTAAGTAAACCAACTAAGTACTCAGTTATTATGAGCAAGAGTGCTTCTACCAAATTTGTGATTTTTATGGCCCCAGGGTTGGGGGTTCTGGTGCTAGGGCGGGGCTCTATTGATTATATAGTGAAAATATATCAATTCTTTGAAAATCTTCTTCTCTGCTCCTGGGTATTAAATAAACTAACAAAGTAAATAGGTATGATAAGCAAGAGTACCTCTACTAAATTTGAGTCGGGATCGAGATTTCAAATTTACGAACTCGCACTTCCGGTTTTAAGATGAAACGGTGGGTAAATAAAGCAAGATCAGAGAAGATAGCTTGGTTTAGTGTAAAATTCATCGATACGAGTGCCATTCAAAACGTTTCATCCGTTCAAAGGACAAATAAAATGCTGACGACTTTGTTGCACAATGACATGCTGGTGAGATAATTATGTATTCGTTTCAAAAGTATCTGTAAATTATTCCCCCCCAGGTTTGCCCTTGGTAGCTATTGCATATTGCCAGCGACATTGTTTAGGTCTCTGTTATAGCTTACAGTCTTAGCATCATACTTCACAAAAGGGTTGCTTATGCATCAGATGTAATGAATAAAACTATGGGAGAATTTAAGTCCATTAGAGGAAGTAATAAACAATAACCTGATGAAATAAAAAAAAATTCAACTATTAAAAGGCAAGAATACAAAAATATATACAGGCATGTAGTATCATTTGTATCAGCAAGAAAAATTATTTTACACTTAATTGAAAAAATGTTCACCCTACTCCCCAATACTCCATGTCTGTTTAATAATAGGAATTATAGTTTTAGGCATCAAGTAAATTTTAGAACAATGTCTACACATTCACCTAACACATATTAAAAAAATGAAGATATATTGAAAGACTTTTTAAGAATTGATTTTTTAAAATAGATTTTGACCAACATCACAAAATTTATAAAACTGGTCCAAACTGGCAGATGATGACAGAAGCAATTAAATATTCTACTTTCCTATTTGTAAGCATTATTAGTCCAGTGGTAAGGAGCCTATTGGAATAGCATTATAAAAGAATGTCCAAATATTAATAAATATTAATCATTGATTTATCAAAAACAAAATTATTTCCTTCTTCTTCGGGACTTTTTAATTCTCGTGTTCATAACTAAACCTAAACATGAAAAAAAGCTGGCCTTATAATGAAGAAAGGGGCCTCTTTAAAAATAGATAATTTCAGGGCCGCTGGGTCATGGGTACCAGGGGGTACTTTAACTAAAAATAAATTAATGCTTTAAAATCTGCCCTTTGATAAGCAATGGTGCCTCCTTCAAAATTTGTGAATTTCATGGCTTTTGGATTAAAACACGAACCAAGTACAATCGCTGGAAAGTTGTAACATGATACTCAGGTGACCTATAAGGCCCGTGGGCCTCTTGTTTAATTCATGTCATTGTTATTCATCCAGTCTAATTTTAGATCCATTTTTACGATATTAGCTCCTTTTCGTATACATGCATAATGTTTAATCAAGGGCAGATAAGTGTAAATTCTCTGTATTCGGAAAACCGTAAGGACAAAAAACATGAAATTAATTATTGTTTTACAGTCTAAAAATATTTTTAACATTTTTATTAGGTGTCAAATGGGCATACTTCTGTAGAAAATATTTAAAAGTGAAATTAAGTTAACATTTAAAAGCAACAGAAGCGATCGGAAAATACCCAAAACACAGCGTTAAATGCAGTCTTCCTTTGTCACGATGAATCCTTGGCCTTAGAGCTCCCATCTATTAAAAACACTGTGTCATGACCCTAAGACAAGGGGAGATAATTAGAAAAAATGAAAGCAAAGTATTGGTTGCTAAAAAAATCTCTGGTCAAGAACTAATGTTGTAGATAAACATTTGCATGTCGGAGAATTAATTTAGTGCAATCAGCATGGTTTCTTGACCAGGAATTACATTGATTTTATTAAAATGTTGATATTTTGCTTGCTGTAAGGACTATTTGTCAGTCATATCACGTTGACTCAAAAAGTAGGTCAAGATGACTTACTTTATAAATATCGTGGCCATTCTTTATGAATGATTTAGAGGCATATTTTGAAAAATTTCAGGTCTATGCTCATCAAACTTTCTTAGTTCATGCATCATAGGCAGGGTTGTGGACAACCACTCGCCCACAAGCAAATGGAGATAACATTTGCTCTGGGAAATTAGATATTAAAAAAAGAACTTAGACGAAGATTAATTCCTTTCATCTTTTTTCAAAGGAATGAATTAAAATATCTTTAACATTGGCAATTTTTAATAGAACCATTAATTTTGCAAAAATTTTCAATCATCTGCAGTTTTTGGTCTTAGTCGTAGGTTCTTTTGTAAAACGGCCCAAACAGAATGTTTTTCCCTAGAACGTAATCAAATTTCAGTTTTAATTTTGATGTACTTTCTATTTCATTTTCAAGTAAAATATCCAAGTATGAAGCTGAAGTGTCGGACTCTGTGGTATCTTTTATCTCAAGCTCACCAGGATATATCGTGTCGACAAAGGAATGGCAATTATCATTATTAATTGACAATACGTCGTCGTTATATCTAAATGTCGAGTTGAAGGCCACAGCAAGTGTTTAGCATCAATTACAGGGCTCTTGATTATCTATAATTAGGTGCCGTTTATAGGCAACAATCCATAATCAAAAAAGTACCTTTATCCCAATTAAATGTGTTAATTTTCCCAAAAGTCATTTCTCTTAAAATTTAAAAGTATAGCTGGATATGTAATAATTAAGTTTGTTTTTTTTTCACATTCCTCTGTATTGCAAAGCAAAAATTAAGTTGATAACAAAGGTCAGAAACTAGTATATCATGTTTATAAAGAATGATGGTTAACTAAAAAATTTCCAAAATGTCGCTATTTTTCCCAATTTTTATGGACCCGGATCCATTTCCAAAAATTGGTGTTAGAGCGCTACATTTAAATCTTCCTTTTTAGCCCTTACAAAACAATGATGAAAAAAAAAATATGGTACCTTGGCGTTTATAGGACAAAATGGCAGTAACACTTATTTTCAACTTATAGTGATCAGCAGTAAATAACACACTACATCAAAAATCATGAATTATTACAGTAATCATATATAAAGTCTATATAAACCATGTATGTATTCATGATAGTGTTAGATACATGTACACGGCTTTCTACTTTCTTGGTCGAGTGGGTTAACCCTTTAGCTTAATTGGAAGAGCACTGGACAGACATGCCAGAGACCCTGGGTTCAATCTCAAGCAGATGCATATAAATGTCTCTGTTTAATACAATCGTTTATGGCACGTATCGGTTCGTTGAGGATGTGACCCATAAATTCATGGTCAGTAGACAGGAATACACTGCTTACCGTACCAAAGTACACTACATCATGATATATTATTTCTCCAAATCAGATGTCGTAGAAAAAGCTGTAGATACTGAAGGAAGATACGTAAAATTATGTTCACGATTTAAAATCCGCATGTCCCATAGTTCATAATAATTTTTTGAATAACTTTATGCTTAGGAAAAAATAATAATTATTTAATTTAATTCTGTTAGAGTAGTGTAAAAATAAAAAAAAATATTGATTGAGGTTCTGATACAACATATAAGTTGTAAGTAAAAGGCTGTAGATCTTACTCTTATCAGACAAACCTGTTTGTTTTTAGCTTTACTGATCAGAGACCAGAAGTGATTATGCAAAAGTAAGGTATCCGTTATCTGTCCATCTGTCTAGTTAGCTGTCTGTCCGTAAAAAAATCAAAAGACTATATTCCCTGAGTTTTTGGCTGATTACAGTATAACTTGGCACAGAAGTAGACTACACTAAGATACATAATTCTTTATATGGGTTTCTGATTTCTATGAACAGTGTTGCACTGGTCACTAAAAATAGAAATTTCGGTGAAATATTTTCAAAATGTACTCGTCCTACAGTTTTGGTCTGATTTCAATATAACATGGCACACATAGAGACTATACACCTAGAAGTATACATTCTATTTATTGCTGTAGCAAGATTTAAATCAAAGTGCTACTTTTCTTTTCCCTTGCTATAAGTACTAACCAGTAAAGCTACAGTCTCATTAGAGACTTCTAATTTTATTATCATCCTTTATTTACATACTCTTGTTTCTTTTAGACTACCTGAAGTTTTGGATTACCTCAATCAAGGCATTTGGAGGCAAAAAGGCACCACTGTTTCTTGTTGTCACACACACGGAAACAAAATCTACAGATGTAAGTATTCTGTCATAAACAAATGTAAATTATAAAAGGAATGAAGATATCGCCAACCTATCATGAGAATGTACAAGTACTGCCATATTTTACAGAAATACAAAAACAAAAAGATTTCTGGCCTATTAGGTCATAAGATTGGTTACAGTCTTTACAAAATGTATTGATGTCTATTTTTGTTGATGACTATTGGCAAAATTTGGATAATAATTCTTGTCTTTGATATTGATGGCTTACCTGAGCTGCAAACTAAAGAGAGCTTTATGGATCATCCGTTGTCCTGTGGCCATTCATCCGTCTCTGTATCTGTTGTTCCTCTTTAAAAATTTCCTATGTTTTACTTCTTAAGTACCATGGTATGGGCCAAAAATTAACCAAGTTGTTACAAATTATCTTTCGCTTAGGTAAAATTTAGAAATTTCAAAGAGACACCCAGTTTTAATTCTGTAAGCTTAATTTGGCGATTTGTTCTTGAACTTGTATTGAAATTTAACTTTATTCTGTTCTTTATTTTTTTTATAAGAAATCATGGTTTTGTATTAAACAGAAAAAAATGTTTAAGGAAAGATCAAAACTGGAAAACACCAAATGAATTAAATAAATACAATAAATAGTCAAAAATATAATTACATATAAATTAGTTCTCATAGTGAAAAACAACTTTGCTATCTGTTGTCACAGTTGCATTAGCAGTCCCATTTGCCAGTAATAGGGTGTATAGAAGGACCATTCTTTCTTCCAAGGGGAGATAATCAAGGGAAAGTCATTAGAATTCACAAAAAATATCATCATAACAAGACCCTCTATGCCAGAAAAAAATTAAACTTGTGAGAAAGCTTCCTATGATAGTGTTAATTCTAATTTCTTTAAATCTCGGTTTTAAGAGGTAGGGTAGTGCCACAATAGGACATTAAAGTTCATAAAAGACCTGATAAACCGCTAGACCAGTTTTAGGGGTAGGGTAATGCCAATATAGGAGATTAAAATTCATAAAAAACCTGATAAACTGTTGGACCAGGAAAACTGAAACGTGTGATATCATCATCAGGTTAATTTGATTCAAACCATATCAACATTGGTTCCGATGGCAATAGGCAATCAGAGATTTACACTGAAATATAATAAGGCAGCACAGTTCAGACTTACTATGAGAAATCAACGGAAAATAGAAGTGCGAAAACGGGAATTGTTTTTAAAACTGAATTTATTATTATTAAACTGTTATTTTTATGACATAACTTAAACACTTATGGAAATAGCATAATATAACCTACTCTGTACTATATGAAGTTTGGTCTGGTCAAAGTACATTCACGTGATGAATGCATAGTACGTGTACTGAATGTAGGTTATTAACAAATATCAATATCATAAGGGCATACCCTATTTGAAAGTAAAAATTCAAGCTATTAATTGTTTCTGCTTACTTTGTACCTTCTGAAAAGTACTGCTGCTTTGCATAGAATTTGCGTTTAAATAGTTAAAATTTCAGGTAAATAGCCCTATGTCGAAATATGTTTGACTTTTACCAAATTTTTTGTGTACTTATTAATCCACGCTCTCGATTTAAAGGAAGCAGTAGCACATTTCAAGTTAAGGAACATATCCTTTATTTATATTCAAAACATGGTTAAGATTTATTTCGTCTATGCCCCTACAAAAGGACGATTTTAAAATTGCAAATTATTTCATTATCTGGTATTATGAAGAATACAAAAAGTCACATTTTTGTGTGGCGTCACAGTAAACTTTTCCCCTAAAAAAAATTAAACCTGCCGCCTTTTTTTCAGCCTTAACAATGTTCCGAAGAATAAGAGGTACTGTGAGCAGTGACTCACTAAATGATACCCCAGGCCCCTTATGATTATAATGGCAAAATGCATGTTCTGCTTGTACATGATAAAAACTCGTACGTGCAATGGAAAGTAATTATAAAATGATAATAAGACAAATTATGAATTTGTCGTTCGGTACCTATTCATTCATGAGTACACAGAATAAAGAAATAATGCTGGCAGGCGTGTCGCCCAGTATAAAAAGACGTCACTGACCTTTTGAGTCTATAAGGGACACAGACTCAAGGAGTTCATTTGGTGCCCCTCGGATAATCCTCAGGGATATTGTATTGTTTTATGGACTTTGAGATTGAGTACTGTTCGATGTCTCCAATGAAGGATATGGAGAAAACGAACAGCATTCAATCTCAAAGTCCATTAAACATTATACAGAATCAGAGTACAGGAAACACGGACCTCCGAAACATCAGAGGTGGGATCAGGTGCCATGGAGGAAAACTGCATTGTTTAATTGACTTTTGCTATGGGAAACTCAAAAAATGTGTCAGATAAAAAACATGGAGGTGCACAATGGCAATATGCAATTAAGATTCTGTGAAAGTTCTGTGAAAGTTTTATCAAAGAGACCAGAAAGCCTTATGCGATAGTAGTGCAATCCGTCGTCAATCTAGCTGTCTGTCTGTCCGTCCTTCTGTCTGCCTGTAAACAATTCTATGATCACATTTTCTGATCATATTTTGTCCGTCGTCCGTCCGTCCGTCTGTCCGTCCGTAAACTTTTCACATTTTCGACTTCTTCTAAAGAACCATTTGGCCAATTTTGACCAAACTTGGTACAAAGCATCCTTTGGTGAAAAGAAATTCAAATTGTTAAAATGAAGGGCTAAGTCCCTTCACGAGGGGAGATAATTAAGAAAAGACAAAAATAGGGTGGGGTCATTAAAATCTTCTTCTAAGGAACCACTAAGCAAGGAAAGCTGAAACTTATGTGGAAGCATCCTGGGATAGTGTAGATTCTAAATTGTTCAAATCATGACCCCCGGGGGTTGGGCGGGGCCACAATGGAGAATCAAAGTTTTACACAGAATAATATAGGAGAAATCTTTGAAAATCTTCTTCTCAAAAACCACTTGGCCAGTAAAACTGAAACTTATGTGGAAGCATCCTGGGGTAGTGTAGATTCTAAATTGTTCAAATCATGACCCCCGGGGGTTGGGCGGGGCCACAATGTAGAATCAAAGTTTTACATAGAAATATATAGGAAAAATCTTTAAAAATCTTCTTCTCAAAAACCACTGGGCCAGAAAAGCTGAAATTTATGTGGAAGCATCTATACGGGGAAAATCAAAGTATTACATAGAAATATTCTTTGAAAATCTTCTTCTCAAGAACAACTGGGCCAGAAAAGCTGAAACTTATGTGGAAGCATCCTTGGGTAGTGTAGATCTCAAATTGTCTAAATTATGATCAGTGGGGTAGGTCGGGGTCACAATATGTATTACAAGGGGGAAATGTAGTAAAAAAACAGAATTGTCAAAGCTTCTCTGGTGAGCGTTGTGGCCCATGGGCCTCTTGTTTGTGTATTTTCGTCTTTCATGCAAAAAGCATGAATATGTTCCAACATTTTTTTTTTTTTTTTTGATTTCGATATCAGAGCAAACCTCTCCTTAATTAATATTAACCATTGCAAAGAGATATGAGAGAGAGAGAGAGAAAGAGAGAGACACATACACACACACAGAGAGAGAGAGAGAGAGAGAGAGAGAGAGAGAGAGAGAGAGAGAGAGAGAGAGAGAGAGAGAGAGAGATATCGGACCAGGCAAATTGCTAGACAAGTCAATTGTAAGATTATTTTTCAATTATTTCTTTTTGTAACACACGGAAAAATTATATAAATGTTCGTACTAAGCTGGATTTTTTTTATTCTTTGAGAGAAGATCAATAATGAAAACAGATATGCCATATCGCTTGCAGCTTCAATGCCTTAATTTTTCAAATTCTGCCTATGTAGTAAAACAAATATGGACTCTTTAGACAGTGATTCGCTATACAGCAAAAAAAAAAATATGTCATATGATCATTTTGTATAGTGTGTCCTTTTTATGTATAAACTAAAACAAATAGTAAACACACAATTTTCACTGATTCTACACTAATTTTATTTGAAATTACACTTGAAAAAAAATCAGATATCTTTAGAACTTGGAAATTTAAGACGAAGTTGACGGCATTTCATTCATGCGAACAGTACACTTTGACTGGGTAGTTATCGGTTTACAACACACAGGCGGTCATCGCAGCAGTCGTCGGTACATCCGGAACAGTCGCTTCCCTTCGAGTACGGGTCCTGTCCTACGTAGTTTCCTCTGTATAGAAAAATAAAAAATCTCAATAAATATTAGGGGGTTATATTTTCAAAGAAATATGCTAAACAGTATCTATCGTTGGAATTCAGGTACATATAGCATTCAATTTCACTCAGTTTTCTATTATTAGAACTATTATTATTCAGCAAAAAATCTTTTTTTTTTCGCTTCAAATTTTGTAGTCATAAATGACTTAAGGTGGAATGCCACACCCACTTTTTATTTTATAGATTTTTGAGTCTTCCTTTGAAAACAAGGGTTTTAGCATTGAAAGGTCGATATTAGCTCTTAATTATTTGATATGAATTTTTTTTTTTGTATTTTTTCAAAGAAAATAAAAAAAAATTAGATTCATTTAAGATGTTGTCAAGTTAAAAGTTTTCTGTAAATGAATGTATCATATTTATATCTAATAAAATATGTAAAGATAGGATTGTAAGACTTTTGAATTTTTTAAATAAAAGATATTTATTAAAATTAAACTTATATTTTGTGAATATTTTTTAAACCTATGGTTAAAATAACTATAAAAATATTCACAACTGAGGACAGCATGTTTGTCAATTAAATTTTTCAAAAAAAATTGAAACAAAATTGAGAAGTTTTAAAGAAATTGATTTTTTTAATTTTTGGACCTAACCGGATCAAAATTAAACTGATCCCGAACAAAATTAATACAAAATTAACAAAATGCTTATTTACTGTACTTACAATGAAGAAATCTATTTTATTTTTAGGTTCATTAATGTTTTAATCCTTATTACACCTAATCATACTAGCGTTCTTGGGGAAATGTATTTATTTCTAATAAATAGACAATGATGGATTGGATCGGTTTATTTTTGATCGGGATCGGTCAAAATTTAAAAAAAAAATAATTTTTCTAAAATTTGGCCATTTCGTTTCAATTTCTTTTATAAATATATTTAACGAACATGTTCTCCCCAGTTATGACTGGTTTTAAGAAAATTTTAACCACAGATTTAAAAAATATTCACAAATTATTGGTTTTATTTTCATAAATACTTTTTTATTAAAAAAAATATCTATACTGTTTTTCTACACATATTTTTTGGATACTAATGTGATGCATTAATTTACAGCGAAAATTTTAAAAGAAAGCGTCTTATTTTGATGGAAATATATATATTTTTTTCATGTTCTTTGAAAAAATACAAAAACTTCATATCAAATAATTGAGAGCTTATGTTTGCCTTTCAATGCTGAAACAATTGTTAAAAAAGGTTGAATCACAAATCTATAAAATAAAAATTTGGGGTGGCATTCCACTTTAAATGATCAGGACTACAAAAAACTTATCTTTAGAGTGGAGGATTTAAAAACTATAGCCCTGAAAAATTAACTTAGAAATTAACTTAATGCGCTTTCAGATATAATTTGTCACTTTTTATTCTCGCGATGTTTTTTTTGCCTAATTTAATTTTGTAACGTCAATTAACGTCATTTGACGTCACAAACAGCCCTAACAGCTATTAACCACGGCAGTTTTGATGGGCGCTAAATTCATTTTCAAGATTAACGAAATAAGCAATTGTGAAGAAGGAAAATTAGAGAATGTAAATGTAAGCATTGAATTCATATTTTTGGATGTCTTCGATCCTATAACACACCTGGCCGTGCCGACAAATTACCATACCGCGCTAACGCACTGTATTCAATTTGTCGGCACGGCCAGATGTGTTATAGGACCGAAGACATCCAAAAATATGAATTCAATGCTTAAATATAAAATTCTTATTCCTCCTTAACATAAAATCAATGTGTTACAAGGACTAATATATTTGTAATTATAATTCATTTAAAAGTTAACAGATAATGTAATCTGTCATATATGTTATCCAAAATATTATGTTTTTTATGCGCCGTCTTTTGACAGCACGTGCACCATAAGCCAAGGATTAACGAGAGGAGCGAATCAGAAACCTTTGGGTAGCCAAAATAGTCAAAGTTTTACTTGCCGATATGAATACATCCTATTTCCACTATGGAGGAATTATAGTTTCTAGTGTGCTCTTTTGTGAAAAAGTCGAAAAATGTACAAATCTCGCGTGACCTCTTGGACTAAAGTTACATGAACATGTAAAAAAACATGCACTCACCCTGGCCCATAGTTGCAGACGTAGAATGTGACGTCATTCCAGCCACTTAAACCGTTCATTGAGGAACAAAACTGAACACCACAGCCCACATACTCCGAATCATGCCAAACAACCTGTTAATATTTCAAAAAGCTGACAATATGATATATACAGTATAATACCAATTTTTAAACAATGAAACATTTTATTGAGTGTAAACGTCAGCTAACCCTGATTTAGAAATGCAACCTCTCTCCTCAATAAATTTACATAATACATTGAAAGAATAGTTTCAATACCAATGAAAAAGTCCTGAGATAACTGAAGACCAGGTTTTTCCCCTTTTTTATCCATCTGTTATTGTTTTAGATTGGTTACACAATCTGTGTTTCATAAAATTAACATAGACACATACAAACTAAAATTTCATTCTATAAAATGCTTGAAATTCTCAACTATTTCCTTTTACATGCTTTTTTAGTTTTTACATTAGTAAACTTAACCATGAAATGTATGAATTTATGAAGAACTTTCCAAAAATTCTTTCGGAAAAAAAGACACTTTTCCCTTGTTTGGTGTATATTTCTGGACGAAAATTTTCAATTTTTGTGAAATTGTTGAAAATTGTAGAGAAGTTACATAAAGTTAGCGTTAATGTTTCAAATAAGAAAAAAGAAATTGTTATAAATTAGATGCATTCTTTCACATTTTTTTTTACGCACAACTGGTTTTTGCTCATTTTTAAGCGGTTAGCTTCGCTAGCCGCTATATGGCATGTGTCGGCAACCGGAAACCTCCATAAGGCGCTACCTATCGGCATCGCTTTATCGCTCGTAACCTTATCCTTCTGCAACCAAAACCGGAAACTTCCACAAGGACCTATCTATCGACAACGGTAACTTCAGCAAATGATTTGTATACTGTCGGCGTAATACGCCCCCTGGTTAGAGATTGACAATATGCTGTGAAGTCTGACTAAAGCCAGCCCATACTATATCACTACGTACTAACGAAGTATATGCTGTGTATGAAGAGTGGCTATTATAACGATTATATCGAATTCTTATTAGTATATTTACCAAAGCATTGGCAATACTTACAACACTTACTTTGAAGAACTGAGAATTTGGTCCTAATTACATGTGTATCGCGCGATCGCGATTTCTGGCAACTGTTAGTTTAATTTTGAAAGTTTATTATACAGCAGGTTGGAGGTTATTACAGACTGCAAAAACATCAGCAAATCTCTCGATCGAGTTTGATTCTCCTTGCCAAAGTATTTAGAAACACCATTTATTAATTTAATACCTGAAAAGCGCTTTTATAAAAACACCGAACGCATCTGTAAGTTTTACACTTTTTGTAACGTTTTATGGAAACAATAGGGTTACCTCCACTATGAAACGTTTGTTTTTCTTCTATTTTCTTCTCTGTCTAATAAACAGATTATAAAAGCTCTGCTCCCAGGGATAAATTCTCTACTCCGTCTTTGATAATTTATAACAATCGATCATAAGGGATTACTTACTATTAGTTTTGTAAAAAATAATGGAGCACTTAAAGTAGTAAAATCAATTTTGAAAAAAAATGGAGAAATATATATTAATTTTAATCAGCATTGTGATCCTCTTCTGAAAATTAACCGATATTATTTTCACAGAAGAATGAGGTATGAAAAATTTTGGCAATTAGCCAAAATTTAAAATATATACTTAAATGCTTATTTATAAGTTTTGAAAATTTGATCAATTCCTAGGGAACGTATTATTAGCTGTGAAAATACTTTTAAAATTTGAATTTATCCAATTTGTCAATTATTGTTTTAAACGTTTGAGAAGAATAAAATTAGAATACAGGTGTTTAGAGGCACATTGATAGAAAAGAAATCAGTGTATATTGTTTAACCGACATATTGAAGAAAGTGACACTGATAACTTCTTAAGTTACACTGATTTTTAATATACATTTGAATTTTTAAATACTAGTATTGATTGATTACACAACTTTTCCTTTTCATGTTTTATTTGAGAACAATATTGCATGAAGAGTATATGATAAAACCCCCTTATATGTCCTTATCTAGATATTGTGCCTTATATTGTGCAAGACTTCTTTCAAATGATTCTCATATACCATTTACTTTATTCGAACATTTACTTGTTTGAAAAGTCAATAAAATATATTTCATAAAGCTGGATAATCTTGTTTACTCGCCAGTCTTCCCGTAGAAGTAGTAGTTTATAATATTACTAAAGGAAGTATTCGGTATCTGTATCAAAATACAGAATGATCAATGATCGATTTTAGAAGAAAAGCTGACTCCTGAAAGTTCAAGAGGTGGGATCCGTTGCCTAGAAAAAGTAAGCATCCCTCGTTGACAGGTTAATTATATTGCCGCGATGAGCCTACACAACTGAATCTCTCTGATATCAATTCATTTACAAAGTCTCTCCTCAGCCATCCTTTTTTCTCTGACTAGCCAGCTGTAGAACTACACTACTCCAAATCCATTAATCTAAAGAATTTAACTTGTCATTTTTTAGTTGTTTGTTATAGTAGGCTTTACAATTACCTAATTTCAGATTCAATAGAGAATAAAAGACAATGAAATTTTCAATATCAACATAATTTTTTTTTATGCAGAGAACAATTGGATGCCATCAAGAGAGAATTTTTAAAAATGCACTTCCTGTCTTTCAAACTGAAGAAATCTCATGTTTAAATTTTGAAACATGCATTTCAATCTTATTAAAATTTATTCAAATGTTCCAAATCCGCTACCGCTTCTGAAACATCTAACATCCCATTCGAGGTCACATCAGAGCGACCTTTCAATTATGAATACATGTACAAGTAAACACAAACACTTTGGCCATGTAGATTCAAGCCTCGGTAAACAGTTCTCAAATTAATTCCACGGCTACATATCATCATTATTGATACTGTCTTACGTTGAATTAAAGTAATTTTGGAATAAATTTCATGTATCTTCTGCAGTCTGGCATCTAAACGTGAATAATGCAACCGAAAGAGCACAAACTATACAAGATACCCCACACGTCATACATAACACACTTTTGCAATGCATATCTTTTTACTACAAAACTCCTCGGGTGTTTTGGTTGGGTGGTAAAAACAAGAAACCCATCTGAACTATTAGCCAGGATTTCGGAGGAACCATTTTCTTTGCCTAATCGAAGATTCACTCTTACATAACCCCAAATAGGATGTTGTTAGATGTTTGAGAAGCAGTTGCAGATTTGGAACATCTAATTTTAATTAGATTGCATCCATCTGTGACATCAGTTTGGAATGTTATTGGTTTTACTATTGAGTAAAGTATTACAAAAACAGAATGTCTGGGTTTTTCCTCTCTGATGACACTGGACAAAGATATGCATACTTAAATAATATCATTTTATGCACTTTTTCGGTACATATTAGATGAAAGCATGCTAACCTCTTTTCAGTACTTTCAGTACTTTGATTTCCTCCATATCTTCTTTGCTTGACCTCGGCTATTTCCGATATTCATACATTTTATATTCATTTTACATTTACCTGTAGAGATCTCCAAGAAAAAAGAGATCTTTGCTATCCAAGATATGTTGGATTGAAGCATAAAAATTATGCAAAGCACAATGCTATTTTTTTTTAACTTAATCAGCAACAAGCTTGTGAACTGTCAATTAGTGAGTAAAATTTCATAAAATGTAAAATGTAACAGTATTATGTGATGAAGTTACGTCATCATGTCAACTTATGTTACGTCAGCTTTTATCGCTAAAGGCCAACTCAAAATCAAATCGCAAAAACAAAAATAAAATAATAATAATGATAATTCGCAAATGGACGGTTGATCAAGGAGATTTGACATTGATTTCAGCAACATAAAAAAAGTAATAATTTTTTTCACGAGTTGGACTCTTCGTGAAATTATGCGAAAATTTACACTCCAAGCGTTTATTTAGGACTTTACGGTATCTTGGAGACAGAAGATTGATTGATTTATTGTATGTAGTTTAACGTCCCTCTCGAGAATTTTTCACTCATTTGGAGACGCCACCACTTGCCGGTGGAGGGCTACAATTTTTTTCCTATGGTCGGCACTCAGGGCCTTTGAGCAGTGAGGGATCTTTATCGTGCCGCACCTGCTGTGAAACGGGACTTCGGTATATACGGTCTCATCCGAAGGACCGGTCTCCACGTCCCACAGTGGGAGGAGAGAGAAGAAGAGTAGACTGAGTTACATGTACCTGTGTGTAGTGCGAACAGATTCCTGAACTACAAGTCTGGGTATCATAGTCGTACTTGCTGCTCTCCAGGTTCCAGTACTCCACAGAGCGATGAATTTTATCTTCTGTAGCTAATAAGGAATAATAAAAAGAAATACAACTCAACTACGGTAGAATTATGTTGACCTTTTTGCACTTAAAAACTGTTCTCTTTGGGTAAACATTTTAATCTTTAACATATTTCATTAAATGTAATTTAACAATAAATGTGATCATATTTTACTTGAAAAAAAAGTCTGAATAATTTTAATCATTGAACAAAACATGCAAATTAATCCACATAAATTTCATGTAATGTGCATCATGTTGGTGCTAAAAATTATCACATTTGGGGTATAAAAATATAAATAGGCAATAGAGAATTCCCTAGTATCAAATTATTTATGAGACTAATGCTGTTCGGTTTGAAGTCTTGTGTTGTTTAGAATAGAGCAAGAAAAGGTTGGGGTCAGTGATATAAATTTTGATATATTGATCAAAATGTGCGATTTAAAAAAAAATTATTTTATCTTTTTATATTATATAATTTTTTAATTAATCGATACATATACCTGTTTTTAATATTCCTAGAAAATCATAACGGAAAGTATTTCTCAAAAAAAATATATAAGGACTAAAGTTCCAAGTTAAATTTAGCAAATGTGTAGATTTGAAAAATTTTCTCCTTAATATCCTTCAAACACAAGAAACAGTCCTTCATATCCTTTGCTCCTTTGTGAATATGAGAGACTACTGAAAGTTTTTAAGCCTCTTACTTATAAGATAAAAGAGGTGTTTATTGTGAAGTGGATTTTCACCTGTAGTTAGGTACTTATTCTCCCCCACGTAACCAAAGGAGGGACTTTTAGATGATCGATCGGGGTTATGACTCCAGTTACACGTTTCAGCCCATTCTGCAGCTACATTGGCAAGTTCTTCACTCCATTTCTACAAGAGATGATGCGCATTTGATCAAATCTTCTATTTCTTAAAATTTACCATAGAGGATTAATGAATCCCTACCTTCCATTGACGTCAGCAATTTAACACGTCATGTTAAACGTACTATAAACAGGTAGTAAGAACTCAGATAACTGGCTCACTGAAATCGATTAATTTTGTTTTTAAAAAAAACGTCTTGATATCGTGTTGTTTACAGTCACGCAAATTAAATAATTGAATTTAAATACAGCATAGTACAAATATCGGTTTCTTCAAATGCAAACATAAAGCAAACTTGCCGTTTACTTGTAAATTATCAGGATCAGTTTTAGGGGAAAATTCGATAGTATACACCTCTCTAGAATTATGACTTTTCCAGAATTCAGTTTACTATTAAGTATTTTAAAAAGTTTTTTAATGTCATTCTAAACGCTTTTTTACCAGATGAATTTTGTCTGGGGGTTCTTCGTACAACGAAATTTGACAGATCCTTTCCCATGTTTGAGTGTTTGTCCACATTTTATAACAAAACAGATCATACCTCGAATATCGCGTAACAAACATAAATTTAAGTGTAAGGAAAATGCGATCAGGAGTGTCGAATGTTCACATCAACATCGTTGAAAACTTACTAGCTTACGACCCCTCCCCCCCCCCCCGTCCCGGAGACCACACCATGGCATCGACCTGGACACATTAGGGGCCTTAAGGTAGCCACAAACCGTTTGCTTACTCAGGCGTCCACATGAAACGTACCCTGTCTACGCCGCTGTGGCATAAATGTTATGTACAATGAGATAATGAAGGCAGACCTGTGACATCAGTTATATAGTGAGAGGTTAAAAGCAAAGCGTCATTCAAGTTTAATTTTCAAGCTTATAATTTACAGTACTTATTTTCAAAGAGAGAAAGATAAAATAGAGGAGAATAACTTACTATTTTTCTAATGTTCCCTGCAGTTGGCGAGACGGCCCTTCGGAACTCGTTGTGAGCGTCAACGTACGTCTGTATCTCTGATTCGTCTAAAGCGGCTGTTGACCTTTTCTTGACTTCTCGCTTGTCTTCCGAAGGATGTATTTCTTCATCGGTCATCTCTCCGCTATTTGATCTGCTAACCTTCTGGAAAAAGAAATATATTCCGTTATCTTCAAAAGGTCTGCAAGTTTAAACTTCTAATAACTTCCATGTAAGACATTTATGGATAAGTTTAACATTTGAAAATAATTAAATGAACAAAGTTGCGTGTATTTGTATATATTTGGAAAAAAAATATCAATAACTTATGCTACATAGGAATTATTTTCTTTTTAGCCTTTTGTTTGCCTTGCTTTGTATTTTCTATCGTGTGCGTTTCTATGTTTAACATATTTGTTTTGTTTTTTGGACAAAAATAGCAATAAATTAAAATCATCTAAATGACCTCTCGCTTGTCTTCCGAAGGATGCGTTTCTTCATCGGTCATTTCTCCGTCATTTGACCTTCTTACTTCCTTAACAAAACAAATAGTATATGTGAATGTTTTTTTTTTTTAAATTATCTTATTTACTTTTTTAGAAAAGGTGTTAAACTAAGGATTTTATAAAGCTACAGGGTTACATGTAAGGCCATTCAAAATGAAAGGGAAAATTAAAAAGGGTAAATAATAATTAAAATGTAAAAAGAAAATTAGGCAGACTGTGCTATTATTTACTCTTACAGACGTCATATTCACAGAAATATGTATCTTAAAGATTCCAATCAAATTTTAGCAACATTTAAAAAAAAAAGAATTAAAATAAGCGGTATGTTGATATCGCTGATGGAGAAGTACGGAGCACGACAAAAAATGTAAAGCAAAAGCTTGTGGAATCAAAAATTTCAATAATTAATTTTCTAAAATTCGAGATATATTTCTCAATTATAACTTTAAATTGTTGATCCCTTATTAAGTATTTAGACTTCTGTCGTGATTTTTGAAGTATAAATGTAGGGATTTTTTTCTCTGCTGCGATTCCCTTGAAAATTACGTCCCCTGAATTGACGGCGCACAACATTTTTGTTAAATCATGTGCAATGCTCCAGATATCGCCGACAAAGATCCAAAATATGCATAATTAAACAAGTAGTAAGCTAGGATATTCTTGACATTCGTCCACAAATAGCAAATTGATATTTTAGACCGATACACCTCTGTAAAAAGGCTATATATACGGGAGGACGGGAAGAGTGAGAGATACCGATATCAAACTATACCTCATAAATACCTGAAATTTTTGGTTTTAAAACAAAAAAACATATATTCATGAATACTTGTTTTTTAAATTTCAAGCTTGACAAGAAATGGTGTTTGGGTGTTGAGTAGATAAGGTAACTCAAACTATACAGGTGCTCTTAGGAAGATGTTGACGATATGTAAGCTCAATTAAATATATTTTTTATAATGCCTGTGACGTCGAAGAATTTGCTGCTACATGACTTCATAATATGTCCAGAAAAATCACTCAAAATATACACCAATTAATAACATTTTGATATGAAATTTTGAAGACGATATATTAAGTATATTTTCTTTTATATTAAGTGTGACATTTACCCCGATTTTGTCGTCAAATATTTTTTTTTTTTTTTTTTTTTTTTTTTTTGCAACAAGTCCGCGTAACTTTTTCAACGACCCTCGTACTGCATGATATAAAGTCATTCTTTGCAAGGAAATATGTTTTGAATAAGTGTAGACACTTTTGAATTGTGTATTTACCGTATCAACTAGCCTATAAGTCAGTTGTATATTTTTAAAGATTATTTTTGAGAGATTTGAAATTTTACCTCTGATAAGTCAGTACAAACTTTTTGCAGTGTAAGTCGACAATTTCAATTCTCTGATCTTTTTACAGGTTTTAAGGTTCATAAACACCCTGTTCACTCATAAAAATTTTCATTTAACTTGTTTCATTTTCTAAAGGAAATGTATACATGTATGCTGGATAAAATATAAACAATTATAGATTGACTTGCAGGGCAAAATTTAACAAAAAATTCCCTTCAACTTGACAAATTTATATGGGAATAATTGACATTTGTGTCATTAAGAATTATCTCTCTTATCAGAGTATCAATGTACCTTAAATTTAGGAAATGGCATTGATTTGTAATTTAGTAGAGGGTTACGATAGCGCAGGGAATATTGATTTTAATTGAAGATTAAGGTATTATGGTCAAACAAAATGTTCTTCAAATATCTGTTTCATACCATTTGGTAAAATTTTATAAATTATTCATATTTTTTTATTTTCCTCTGATTTTTACATCATTTCTAAAAATGTTTTAAATATAAGAAGGCAAATGGTTCTGACATAGGTCATTTAGAAGATTAACCATAAGCGTTATATAAGATATATAACCTTGTTGTACTTTGTCCAAATGCCTGGGAAGGTATCCTTTTTTTGTGAGGAATCTTGTTTGAGTACTTTTTTTTAAATGAGAAATTCCAAAGAAAAATTATATATTTTTGAGGAACGTGTTATATGACCTTAAGTGAGGAAAAAACATACGATAAGGGATTTAATCGAAAACATAAAATGAAAACAGATTTCCACAACTCATCTATATAATACACACAATGTAATACCGTATAAGGGAAATTTTAGTAAGAAGCAAATTAAGCGATTTATCCCTAAAAATTTATTTTTAATTTTTAGTGAGATGTTAGTTTAGCAATCTTAAATGCAAGCTAAAGATGATATAAGAAATATTGTTTGCAATTAATTTTTAGTTATTTAGTTTAGATATTCAGTTCAAGCGATCTCAGCACCCTTAAAGCTTGCTAATGATGCTAAAATTAAATCCTCGCTAAAATTTCTATTTATACTGTATTTCTTTAGTTCTCTTGGTTTTTTTTTTAATTGAGAATATCAAAAAAATGTTCTTTTCAATATTATACAGTGAAGCCTCAGATATCTCAAAGATTTGGCCTAATTTAAATAAGATATCCGGCATAATGCTACACTGTAGCACATATCCGGACAAGAGCATTATAAATGTGTTTTTGGTGACTGAGGGAACCAAAGTTCCTACAATTAAATGAGGGTCCACTTTACATAGTCAAATGAAATGTTCGAATTACTGTGACAAATGTATTGTGTTTTCAGAAATTGGAAGTAGTCACTTACTTTGAACATGCTCTAAAAAACTTACACGTACAATTCAAATCAGAAAAGATAATATTTTAACGTGAGCATAATGGAAGTCATGTAACATTTCGAATACAATATAAAAAAAATTAAAACAAGGAAAAATAAACCAAAAAGATATGGATGAAATCAAGTGTTTCACTTCTTTAAGGAGGTTGGGGGTTAACAAATTAACCACAAATTAATCACAAGATTTAACTTATTTTTTAGATACTGTAACTTAAGCTTTCAGCTATCGTTTTGCATCGAAAATCAAACATTTTAGTTTTAAAATTTGATCATTTTGGTATATTATTATATGGAGCTTTTCTTTAAAAGGAGGCCGAAATAGTCTGAAAATTGCTGCCACCTCAGCCTCTTTGAATTGACTTCTATTTTCTTTGACCGAAATCAATGGATGTAAATTCTATATTTTCATTCCTACTAATCTATGCAAATTAATCTTACCCCTACTTCGGCCAAATCATTCAGAAGCTCCCTGAAGACCAACTCCCTCTCTCCAGGTTTGGCGCACACGAAGTGCAAGCTAAACACAGCAACCAGTAGCAACTTGAGCATTTTGACGTTTGTAAATTCAAGTGCCCGTCGAATGGATTGTCGACTGCTTTTATAATGGTCGAAAATAGCCGAAAGGGGTGGGTGTGAATTTTTAGGCTTATTCTTACGAAATGCAGGGTATATGATTCGAGTGAGATATACGAAGATGGCCAATGGACCTAAAGATTTTGTCGGGTCATTAGATTTTATTTTGCCTGTAAAAAGAACTTTTACTTTCTATGGATATGAAATTTGCTTCTATTGAGTAGCAAAGGTCTAACCACATTTTGTAGCCATTATCAAACATAAGAAAAAAAAGGGGGAAACTCTTTATTGTAGGCTCGATGAAATCCTTGGATTCTCAAAGTGTTTATAGCCACATCATATTTCTTTATTTCTTTATTATAACTATACTCTCTTGTTTGTTTATATTAGAACAAAGTTATTGCCCTACATTTTTTGATCTACAATGATTTAAAATGTTTGAAAATATTAGGGAAATACATTGACTTTGTTTTTCATCTTTTATCTTGTCAAAAACAAGAAATATAGTGAAAATCTTTACCAATTTTTACATAATTTTACATTAAATAATATTGTTTTATTTTCTCTAGTCCCTTCAATGTACTAGTCAAAGTATTTTTTTACTAAATCATAATACATTTCCATAAGGTACATAATTTATTCCGCATATGCATATGTTTTATACAATCTAGGTTTTAGAAGGAATGTTGCCTAGTTGCATGCTTATTGGTATATTAGTATTTTTTTGCAACATGGCATTATGTATGTTTCTATTTGGTTATTGTCATTTATGTTCAATAAATGACCTATTTTATCTTAAATGAGTTGTTCTGATTTAGCTTTGGCTGGCATGCAGACAGAAATAAATAACTTATACCCTGAACATGTAATTTGTAGTACATTGCTGACTCACATGTTAGAGATCTCTGTGCACTACGTATATTATTTTTGTGCAATAAAAACATATTATATAACTTTGCGTTTTGATTTACTATAGTTATAAATTTGATACTTTGGTTAACTTAGGAAATAATTATTAATTACACTTTGATTTACGTTGGACATCATTATGAAAACTTTGATTTACTATCGTAAAAACTTTTACTCTCTATAATCTACTCATACGAATCCATCCCCTACTACCTTAACAGAAAAACAAACCGGAAAACAGCAATTTGTTGTATACTTAAACTTAGAATAAGCATCCATATTAAAAACCGTCTAGTTTTCAGCTTTTATTATTTAAGAATTATTGAGTTGCGTCTGATTACTTATAAAAAACAGTTTAAATATGTAGGCAAAATGTGTTGACCTTTATTGCCTGTAGCGCATCTGTGAATGGGGGGTATTATTAATTCTGTTATGATAATCAATAATTATGTTTTGAATTCAGAATTTTTTCACAAAAACTACCCGAAACAGGTGCACCAGAATTGTAACTCACATATTTAATATAACGTACAGAATTTACTAGAAAAACGATGATGTCCGTAAAATATGTTTAGATTTAACTCGCATACTATGTATCGAACGTTAAATTAAAAGTCTAATGTCACTTTCCTCAAAAAAGGAGATAATTTAATTGTTTGATTGTTTTTATACTATTGAATATAGTATTTTGAATCAAATTTTTGCGAGGGCTATTCGGGAGTTATTTTTTTTTATTTTAAAAAAATGAAGAAATAAATGAGAAAAATATATATCAGTAAAAACTGCATATTCGAGGCTTTATTTATGATGGAAGTGAAATAAGAGCACCTG